ATAAATTATGTTTGCTGACAAGGTCATTGTATCGACCATAGAACTTACGAAATGATGACTTTAAACGAGACTGCTGATATTCTTGTTTCATCAGCTTGTTTGTCAATATTTTACCTCGTTTTAGAAATTGTACATACGTAGAGCATGCTCTTGCGTATCGATTCAACTGAGAGATATAAACCCCGTATGCAGGTGATGAAGGTATATTGCTGCATAAGTAAGGGAAGTTGACGATTGAAAAGTTAAAGTTATCACGTTTATTATAAAGCTTGGTTGTTAGATTACCATTAACGTCTTTTTTAAGTAAAATATCCAAATATGAAACAGATGTGTCAGACTCTGTGGTATCTTTTATCTCAAGCTCACCGGGATATATCGTATCGACATAAGAATGGAAATAACCACTGTTAATTGACAATACGTCGTCGATACATCTACATGTCGAGTTGAAGGCCACAGCAAGTGCTTTCTTCTTTTCGCGTATAAGGTTTTGGACAAATTCTACTTCATATGAACATAAAAAAGGTCTGCTAATAACGGGGCGCAATTGATACCCATGGGAATTCCAACAGATTGTTGGAAGACCTGGTCTCCAAAAACCACAGAGATATTGTCAATCAGAAACTCAAGCATCTTTTTAATGTCAACCTCAGAGTACTTGTGTGTACAATCAGAATGTTTTTTAACAAAATAATTTTGCAAATGACCAATGACAAGGTAAGTAAATTTACGAGTTCCATTTTTATTGGAAAAAACAGCTGTCAATGATATCAAAAAGCTTGGACTTTAATTTATCGTGGGGAATGGTTGTGTATAAAGTTGAAAAGTCGTAAGTTTTTAAGCTGTTGATTTTGGTAAAATCTTGTGATTTCAAATTTTCCAAAAGTTCCTTGGAATTTTTAAGTATCCTCATCTGATTTACACCACTTCTCGAATATATTGTTGCACAGTACTCTTGAAGTTTCTCCTTCACTACTGTTAATATTTTAGTGAGGAGTAAAGAAAGAGGCTTGATTGAACATTTACTGGAACCCGCTATGTATCTTTGTTTGTAACGATTTTTATGAAGTTTCAGAATCCAATATAGATATGGTAATTCAAATTAATTTTGGTTGTTTGGAATATTAAAAATATTCAAAACTGACGTATGATTTTGAAGAATTTCTTCCTTAGAAAGGGAACTATGAGTATAAGTTGGATTACCACTTGTAGAATTAAATCCAAGTTCCACTAAAATACATTTAATATAATGAGCCTTACAAACAAAGACAATGTTGTTACCTGCTTTGTCAGCAGGGACCAGTACGTATTGATCATGTATTCTATCTAATTCTTTTTTCACTTCTGGATTACCGGTATTGCATTCACTATGGATAGATGGTTCTCATATTTCCCCTCAATCTTTTAATGCGTGATCATACATCTGATACTTTTTATCCATTCTGACAAAGTGTCAAGGTCTTCTTTTTCATGTCTGGCCCGTCGCCTGGCATAATCCTCTACAGAATCCATAATATTTATGAAATTCCTACGCCAGTTGAAGGATCGGGGTTCCCTATATTTAAAGCTTAAATTGGGGCTTATTTTTTCCTGGGCTTTCACAATATTTTGGCTATATTTGTCAAATATGATGATAGAATTCATGACAGTTAATTTTATAGAGTATAATTTGTCCAAACCGGACACCAACGGTTCCATAAAATTTGGCTGGATTAGACAGAATCCGGAGTGCAGGAAAAATGCAGGAATATATGTGATATTTATTTCCGTTGTTTTATTAACACGTTCAATGCGTATGTTGGAAAAATATAATTAAATAACAAAATCATTTGATATTTATGGAGTCAAAAATTATTCAAAAAGATCGCATGACTTACTATTAATTTTTCTTTTTCGTTCACAAAGTTTGAGACTTTCAACGTGAAATCTACAGACACGTGTATATCAAGTGCGGGTTTTGCAAATTGGAAAGCGCATTCAACTTAACCATAAACACAATTATTTACGATTTGGTAATTATTGAATTTACATATTAATTTTTATGGAAACATGCACGTCTTCCCTTCAATATTATGGCGCCATTTTGAAATAAGACGTTCGAGTTTCGATCCCGATTTATATTTTTATTTGTAAATCATATACAAATATTGTCATTGATTTTATGTTATACTGTGTGAGCAAGTTAAACATGTAAACATTTTTAGAAATCTACTTGCAACTTAACTTTTTATTTCTTTAAGTGGGTTATGTCACCGCCGCGTTTCAGTTCGTCTAATGACACTGTAAACACACGCTAGCACATCTACCACGAAAGGTGTTAATTCTGCGTGGCCGGATTAGAGGAAATAATTACCGTTAATTATGAGTAGTTGGGACCAATTTTACCGTTCGGAATAGAGAATAGACAGTATCCGGACTATACGGAATTTTTTTATAATACAGTTGTTAAAGGAGTGCATGGGATATTAAAATTTAAAGCCGAAATGGACAAAATTCCGGAGTACACAAAGTCCGGATTAGACAAATTTTACTGTATATAACTTAGGACCAGCATAAAACAGTTCACTACACAAGATAACTCTGCATGCAAGCTGCATGGAAAAATTGGAATCCAAACTTAACAATAATGTAAATACTTCGAGAAAGAAAAATTGATCATTTTCCCGCCACAAAATAAAGATCCTCACTTAATGCTTTTGGTGTGGAATTTAATCATGGTATTTTAATAAAATATAGTTTAATATGCATTGTAGAATTCAAATTTATCGTAAGATCTAAGACATTATGCAGAATTTTTTAAATAGATGTCAAGACAAAAATATACTTTAGGAATGACTCTAATTCTTGGCCAAATTATTCGAGTATATAACCTGGTTTGGGTCAGTTTACGCTTTATAATCCGCGAAGCGGATTATAAAACAGCGTAAACTGACCCAAACCAGGTTATACTCGAATAATTTGGCCAAGAATTAGAGTCATTCCTTATAATTTAATTTTAAAATCATTAAATAACTATGGGTGTAAAATTTCGCTGCTTTTTATTAGTTCAAATTTGCCGCTCAATAATACAACCGTAGTAACGGAAGTAACGGAAGTCATGGGAAGCGAGGGGAGCTAAAAACTGATACATAGGCCTAGCAGCCTTGTTGTTTGTTTAAATGTGGTAAGATTGAATTATTGTTTGAAGTTAAAGGTACTTTTATTAAATCTGGAATTTTCCATGAATCCCGAGGACTGGAAATGAGAGGATTGTATGGATACAGATGATTCAGCTGGTTGTAAGGGGGGGGGGGGGGGTGGTGTCCCCATACCAAACCAGGTTATACAGAAATAATTTGTGTTCCTTTTTGGATATTAACCAATCAGAGCCTAGAATGCAAACAAAATTAAATTAATTATAATTAAAAGCTCAGGAACGAACCTCGTTAAAAAAGCACACACACAGTGGAAAAAGAGATATTTAACGGAGTATAAAAATCTATACAGAATGTGTAGTGTACGATATCATTTTTATCCATTCAAATTTACTGATTTTGTCAAAAAGAAAGCGGGAACAATCTGATAACATACTAGACTCTGGGGGTGACAGACAGCACCCCGGAGAGGAGGAGGAAGAACGCACAAGCTTACGAAAACAGAACCATTGCCATGTTGTACTAGCACTAGTCTGACCTTTTTTTTGTGTGACAAATTGGGGATCGACAACATCAGAAGATGCAATGCGCACACGAGAGAGAGAGAGAGAGAGAGAGAGAGAGAGAGAGAGAGCAAACAACCCTTTTCCCATTTGTTCAAGCTATCCCAATTTTTTTCATGATTTCCATTTCAAATGGGAGAGGAGGAGGAGGGGTGAGGAGGAGGAGGGGTATTCCTCCCACTTCTCTATGATTTCCATCCCCAACGGGGGAAAAGGGGGTCGGATTTTTTTTTTATACAAAACACAATTGTAATAAGAATATGTTGTTATTTATTACAGAAGCTAAAAATGTTTATCTCAAAGATTAATAACTGTAGATTTTGATCTCTTATTACAATATCAAGGGGCCTTACGGGGCCAGATTGCTAAATCTTTGATCATTATTTTATTGAAAAAAGAAAAAAAGTTTTGATAGCTATTTGGAACTAATAATGGTATAAAACATCAAAATTAAATCAAAGTATGGAACATTTTTATATCATTTTTTGAAAGAATATCTCAGTCAAAAGCATATCTAATTCTAATCAGAAATCGGCCGAAAATCCACTCGCAACAAGATCAGTTCTAGTTACTCTTTCCAATTGTTATCTATATTTTTAAAATATTAACTAATTAACGAGCTTGTTTGAGAATTTAATGCATGTATCGCAGGTATTATTTAAATAGAAATGTCTGTTTTGTCTTTCAAAGGCATCACACACACTTGAATGTATATACATGTACACCAGTGTATCCCCACTGTTGCTTTTAGAAAACTTTAGCTGGTCTGTGTATACTTTTTTACATGTATTTTGTAAAAAGCACTTATATCAAATTTTGGATTTTAAAGATCCTTAAAATTTTCAATGGGTAGAAAATTCTAAATGCTTGTATTTTGTATACGACGTTTGTAAAACCCATGATCGAACACGCTTCATTAGTTTGGGATGAGCGGTTTCTATCTGACATAGGGTAGTAGCTGATCTTCCACCAGTGACCTCCTCGAGAGGTTCACTTTATTTCAGAAATAAGATGGGTACCTTGGAAGAACCGGTGTTGTATAATTACTTATTTAATGTTAGCATGCACAGCATGTACCTTTTTTATTTTGCAAGTGTTTTACAAATACAATCTTTACTAATTAAAGGTACAATAGCTGTTCAAATTGAAGCAAGGTTTTTTTTTTAAATTTTGATAGTAAAGGTATCATTTTTAGCTCACCTAAGCCGAAGGTTCGAGTGAGCTTTTCTGAACAAAGGGGTTTGGCATCTGTATGTTTTTATATAGAGTTATTGTTCTTTGTGAAATTGTCAAGAATGCGCTGCAGCCATTGTGTTGTGTTTACGGTTTTCTCGAGGCAATTGTGGCCTACTACAGTGTAAGTAATAATTTGTTTGTCTTATGCATCTATGTTTAGGTGAGACATGATGAGTATAGTATTTTCTTGTTAATGCTTTGAATCATTTCTGCATATTTTTTGGAGACTGAGATGTAGCATCACTGCAATGCATGTTGGTTGCTGAACCAAACTTTACCAACTTTTAATCATGAGTGCATTTATATGAAACTTTGTTTAAAATATTTTGACAACTTCAGTAAGGAATTTATTGACTGTTAATTATATAATTTGATTAAGAAATCTTTCAAAGTTTGATTGCAATCAATCCCTGATTGATCTGAAAAAGTATGGAACACAGTTAATGTCATAAGTAATTTATTCTGTATTTGATGTATTATGTAACTTCAGAACATTTTCTTGTAATTTTATTTTGTACTTTTTCAGCTTTTTACCATTTATTACTACAATAAAGGTTATACTGCTGTCTTCGGGACAGACAGCATCAGTCTGTCGTGTGTCATCTGTTTTCTGGAAACCTTTCTTTTTTTTTTAATACATTTTTCGACTTCTTCTCAAGAACCATGGGGGTAATTTAAACCAACTTGCCACAAAACAACCTTGTATGATTGGGATTTAAGTTGTTCATATGAAGGACAGCGACCTCTTTCAAGGGGATATCATTAAGAATTTGGGAAAATTTAATGGTATCTTTTAAAATCTTCTCAATAGCCACTGGGCCCGAAAAGATGAACTTATGTAAAAACTTTTTTGCATACTTTAGATTTAAGTTCGTTCAAATCATGACCCCCGAGGCTAGGGCGCGGTTACAAAGGCGATTGAAGTTTAACATATGAATATATTGGGAAATCTTTAAAAATAGCAAAGACATGTATGGAAGCATTATCAAGTATAGATTCAAGTTTGTTCAAATCATGACCCCCGGGGCTAGGGTGGGGCACATTTGGCGATCAAAATTTTAAATAGAATACATAGAAACAGTTTTTAAAATTCTTCTCAAGAACAGCAAAGTCATGATAATTCATTCTTATTTGGAAGCATTCTCAGGTATTTTTGGACTCAAATTTTGTTCAAATCATGACCCCCGGGGGTAGGACGGGGCCAGAATTGGCCTTCAAACTTTTACATATTAATATATGGGAAAAACCAAGATCATTAATATTTATATGGAAGCATCCTCCAGTAGTATAGACTCAAAATTGTTCAATTTATGACTCCTAAGGTAGGGTGGGGCCACAACATATAATCGAAGTTTTACATAAAAATATACAGGGGGAAAATCTGCTGATGGAGAACAGCAAAGCCATAATATTGGCGATGTTGCCCATGGGCCTCATTTATAAAACGAGGGTTGAAATTAATATCAAATCTGGCAAGCTTTTACAAAACCTGTTACGTCTATTGATTTCGAACTCTTTTTTCGAATTCTTTTTATCATTAGTAAAATAACTTTGTTATAATAGCTATTTATTTTACGGGAGTCTGACTAAGAATACTTCACCATGATTTTCGTTTTGATATTCGTATCTCTTCTTAGTGTTGCGGTCTCAGAAGGTATGTTTTTTTCTTATATAACAGAAAAAAATCTCGTTTTTAGCTTAACATAAAATATGAAATAGACCATTATACTATTCAAAATTTAAAAATCATGCAGGGGTGCTGTTTCTCTTTATATGAAGTTACTTTATTTGGTTTGAATAATGTGTTTTCAAAAAATTTCTTTTCAGGAATTTTAGAAATCTTAAAATTAGTTCTAGTACAACCAATCCTAAAGTCCATATTCTTTGCTTGCTTGGATATATTGTAAAGTAGAATTCTTAATTTCCCTGTAGTGAAATTCGGTCTTCGAATCGTGCAATGTCTGCCACAATGACAAAACGAGTAAACATTCGTCTAAATGAAAAGAAACAACGGGTTCACTAATTGAATCAGTGGCAGTGGTCCATAGCTTAATATAAGTCATTCATATAAAAATTGAACCCTTGAATCCTGTGCCTGTACTGTACAGGCTAGTAGAAACCGGGGAGTGGGGTAGGGGGCATGCGAGGCGTGCTCCAATTATTTTACCAGTATGTTGTGCCCACTGAACACTAAGTAATTGGACCAGTAAAAACTGTAAATGGAAAACAAAGTTACTATACGTTTGCCCCCGTAAATTGACGTCGTATTATCTTTCTTTTGGTATTTCAAGAATTTCTGTTAGGTGGTGCCCGCCAAACTGAAATTGCGTCTGACGGGCCAGCTTCAATTGTTTTTAAATTTAGAAAAATAATTTAGAACAAAATTAGATTAGAAAATTTCAATACGATATCTACTCTAACATATAATCGTCAGGAAAGAGAGTCGATTTTATATTTAAAAACAAAATCTAATATTTAATTGATAATTTATCATCAATAAAATTTAATGTCTAAATTGAAACACAATAGTAAATCAAGGGAAATTTTGCAAGCATGATTTTTATGGACTTTTGAGCCTGAATACTGTTCGTTATCTTCATATATTTCATTTTAACATAACTAAGACCTTGCTTTTCCTGTTTTACGGCGTAGTAACGAGCTCTGTGTTAGCTCAGGGTCCCTGTGTCAAATTTTTCTATGTTCACGATTAGGATTGTTTATAGAATTTACGAGATGATCCTTGTCTGCTATCTTCAACTTTTCCATTTTCTGGTTCGTTATCTGGTTGAATGGTCAATTACTTGTAAAATATTTCACATGGACACGAATGGGGTATTACTTTTATATATATATATATATATATATATATATATATATATATATATATATATATATATATATATATATATATATATATATATATATATATTTTAAAGAAACGTTGATGGATTTACACATAATGTTACAGTTACTTGGGTCTTGGTTTATGAATATGTATACATGTATACCTTATTGGTACGTAAAAAGAGTGAAGGTATACAGGCTCCGTAATGGCGTGTGCTCTACTCGCTTGTTTCCACATGGCTTGTTCTTTGAAAATGACGTTGAACCTATGCACTTCGTACACCGGACGTCTCGGAACATTGATTACTTATAGTAAAAAAAAAACTTACATCTTGCAAATAATTCCTAATATATGATTTTTAACACCTTTTCAAACTTTGATTTTACGTGCCCGGAACCGAGTGCAAATTGTAAAACCCTTTTCAAAACGACGAATTACGGTGTAAAGACGAAAATGACCCCCATAGAATAATGACCAGAGAGTCATCGAAAAATGCCCCCCCCCCCCCAGCCGTAGAAAATGTCATTTTTTGTAGAAAAAGAACCCTAGCGGTCAGTTTTCTACATGTGCAACCTATAAGATATTGACCCCTGTTGAAAAATGACCCCCATCCCAACAGAGTGATACAAAGTTCAAAAGATTGATTGATGCCAAGGTTTGGGTCTCAACGGGTAATTCTCTTGCGTTTTTTCTGATTTATATATGAACAACACGCAATTAAAAAATGTTTAACTGTACATTACACGTGTTTCTTCTTATTAGACTTATTGTGTTCTCAGCTCGAAATTAAAATTGCACTATAAATACGTCACAGTGGCTATTGATTAAACCTGTTATTATGTCGTCCAGAACGTAAGTCAGGACGATGTATTTTTATCGCTGGACTTATTTTGTCCGAACATTTTCTCGGACTTGGATAAACTTAATGAAACGTTTCAGAAATGACGATGAGCAACTCTAGTTGTTCATTAAATATTTTGATTTTGAAAACTAACTACCGTTGTCATGGGAAATATGATTTCAAAGAATATTCTCACGGTTTCCTTCTAAAATCTTTGTGGAAACTTCACAAATGCATTTAAATTTAAGATTTTTAGAACTGTTTCCATTGCCGTGGAAACGATTGGACAACTTTTTTTCTCACCAAGAACAAGTGAACGAACGTGCACAGGTACACAAGTGCCGTTACATGATCATTATGTATGGATCATTGTGTATGTCTATTGTATGAGGCGCCGGATTGGTATTTATTGCCATTTAGTGATATCACCGATTTGAATAGGTGATATCACCTGTTTGAAGAGGTGATATCACTCATTCAAATTAAATAGGCAATATTTATTTACCTACTCGAATAGATGATTTCACCTATTCGGATTGGTAATATCATCTTTTCATTTTTAATTGGTGATAACACCAATTTGAATTGGTGACATCACGTACATGTATTTGCATTTCTTACACAAAAAAGACCATAAAACAACCTGGTTTGCATATGAAAAACTAGATTTCTATTGCCTTTAAGCGAATTTGAGCTGCCCTTTCCCCTGTGTTATAGTTTAAAAAATTTAAAACACCATTTGTTTTCAATCCCTGTAAAATTATATAAATTTCATTTGCAGTCAGTTTTGTTATATATATTGATACTCTCTGTTATAATTATCTTTGTGAAAAAAGACAAAACTTTTTGCTTCCTGTATAGAGTAAAGGTATGCACTATAGTCTTGGAGCAGTTTTTTTTTTTTTTTTTTTTTTTTTTTTTTTTTTTTTTTTTTTTTAAACACATATTTAATATGAATAGATAGGTGATATCATCTTTTCAAATAGGGGATGTCACCGATTCAAAAGCTAAATAGGTGATATCACGAATATCACATAGATATAATTAAACAATAAGTGATAAGTAGGATCAAGACTAAAATGTATGCTATTACTAGCAATAATATGTGAATATGATTGGCCGTTTTAGTATTTACCACCTATTCAATTGGTGTTATCACCTATTTCGATATGTTACTGATTATAGACGTTTATGGCCAATACACAAACGGGATGACTCAGAAGTCTCTAACACATCAAGTAATTATGTTCCCCAAACGAAGTTTGGGAACATATTGTTTTTACTCTGTTTCTTATTATTAAGGTCTTCCGTCTCCACGGAAGACCTTATAGTGATTCTATTGTTTCTTATTATTATTAGGGTCTTCCGTCTTCTGCGGAAGACCCTTCTATTATTCTATTGTTGATTTTTCACTTTTCTTATTAAGGTCTTTCGT